GTTTCCGCTATTGTTTTAATACGTGCCCCGGATGAATCGCTATCGAAATGCTCCCGGCCTCAGAGGCCCTACCAAGGCAACTCCTAGCACCTTGTGTCAAAAATGCCTGAAGCGAGATACGTAAAGACCATCTACACTTTATTGTCATAATTGCTGACGGTCCCAGCACGGCACTACAGCTATGAATGTAAAGTGACCGCCCAAGAGCGGCCGTACACGTCTCGTCCATCACGCACGCAGCAGTTATTGAACCCCAAACTGCGGCCGCAACTCTCAGCCGATGTCCCTAGTGACTCATCACGCACGTAGGTCTATCCTTTCTATCGAGCTCATGAGCGAGCTGTCATGAGCAGGAGCTAAATCCGCGTACAGGAAAGGACTAGCGACTGAGATCCTTGCTAAGCGTGAGGAAGAACGAGGTCGCAAAAGAGAGCATGATGAGGCGGATCCTCTTGACAGTCGCACTCAGACCTCAAAACGAGCCCGGTCAGCATCATCACATTCGGTCAGCTCGGTATCAACGATATCGACTAGTCGATCACACTCAAGATCGCCCCCTCGCCATGCGGACTATGGTGCACGAAAGAGCCATGGTCGAACAAGGTCCATCTCTTCCCATGTTTCTGGACAAAGGAAGAGACGCTACAGCGATGCGTCTTCCCATGATTCCGCAATTTCCTACTCGTCCGGGGACAGGGACTCTCGTTCTCGATCGCGTGAGTGGCAGGGTGACAGGAACACCCGGCGGAGGCGTCGAGAATCCAGCCCTGAAGAGCGAGGCCGGCCTCGACACCTGTCACGGGATCGTGAACGACGAGACAGGTCCCGAAGTCAGAGCGTGGATCACAGCCGAATTGCCAGGACGAGACGGTCTGCGACCCCAGAGAAGCGACCCGAGCGTGGCTATCCTGCTTCAAGAGATTATAGGGACGGTCCGACTCACTCACAGAAAGACGGACGGGGCCAAGGACGCGCGCCGCCTCCGCCCCGTGAGAGGAGTCTCAGTCCTTACAGCAAGCGTCTTGCGTTGACGCAGTCCATGAATATGGGCAACTAGGTGTCTTTGACTTGAGGTTTTGAATAGAAAAAGTACTGGACAACGGATGTGCGGGAGTTTGGCGTTTTACCTCTTTCGAGGCTCATCACCACGGGCTGGTTCTCCAAGGATTATAAACGGGGGACTGTACTATAGTTAGACCATACAGAAGGCTAATGCATTGAAAGTAATTTTTCCAAGTAAACCGTATGCAGAGATCCTCAACGCCTTGCGACACTTGTCCCAAATCCTCCAACTGTGGGCGCCTGTAAAAGCAAGATGCAAAGAGATGAGACCGAATCGCAACTGCTACCATACATCTTCCCATGGGGTATCAAAATCATGCCTCGTCATCCTCCAGACCATTGCCTGCCTCCTCCTCTTCCCTCTCACGGACATGAATGCCCTGGACCAACATATCACCTTCAATGCCCACTTCCTCGCCCTGTTCACCTCCATTGGCACCTGTTCCTTTCGCCTGAGCTGCGCGTTGTGCCTCTTCTATCCGTTGGCGGACCAGTTTCGCAATCGCGTTCTGAGTTCTAACATTGAGGACGTTCATCTTCTCATCCAGGTCCCGCTTCAGATCCCAATTCGGCTTCTTGGGCTGTAGCTTGAAGAGGTCAATAGGCTGGTCACCTTCTTCATCCTCCTTGGCTTTCTCTGCGGTGGCCCTTGCGATTTCTGCAGCCTGCGCTTCCACGGTGATCTGACCATCTGACGGGGCGGTGTCGAAGCCCAGCTTTGGGCCGCGCATTTCTGTGTCGTAGTTCCTCCCGGAGAGGTATTGCTTTGTTACATCGGGAGCAGCATCTTCCAATTCTTCATCGGCGGCACCAGCTTCGGTCAATGGCTCTGGCTCTGGTTGTTTCCGCTTCAGCGCGGCAAGCTTTGCAAGGCGTGCTTTGCGCTCATTTGCCGCCGCATCGAGAGAAGCATGATTCGACGACATCACGGCGGGGGGAGGAGGGTCGGATATAAAAATCAAGCGGGGGGAAGGATTTCACGATACAGTGTGAGTACGGGGTGAGAAACGAGTAACGATCTTTTTATTCTGCCCGCAGAAAGCTCCGAGTCTCTTCGAAAGGGTCTCGCGTCACCCGAGAATTGAGACGATGTAATGATGAAGTCTAGAATGATCTTTCGGTAGATACTTGCTTGTGCTTTGGTTATCGGGCGGTGCTGCGCCACATCTGTAACGCACCAGCCACATCGGCGCCGGAGCAAAATCCGGCGGCGGAGGGAAAGATTATTGGCTACAACAATCGTGCTTCCCTTCGTTCCCCGGCCCCAAACCCGCGCAGGTGATTGTTCTCGCAACTTTCAATCGAGATATGAGCTGAACAAGCTGTGAGTCTGAATGTTACCTTGTGCGCACTATCTCCCGCGTTCCCGCGTCTGCGCTGGATTGCCGGTCTACAAACCGCAGCACAGGCTCCGCCTCGAGCGACGGAGAGAAGGACCCCAGGATGCAAGATCCTTTGTCGACGATGCGCCGCAATCGAATACGTCCAGTCAGCCAGATACTTTTTTAAATAGTGTGAGGCATTCCAGTGTCTACAGCACTGTTCTTCCGGAAATGAAGACCCAACGCCTCTTCCCTACAACTACCTTCCGCCGATCTGCAGGGAATAGTGTACTTTATAACCAGCCCTCGATTACCAAAAGGGAGTTCTCACTTCTGTCGCCTGGAGTTGCTTCTCGCAATGCAACTTTACTATCGCTCATCAACAAAAACACAACACTATCCTTCGTGCAGAAACGCAGTTTGCGTACCCCGCCTACCCTCGCGAGCTTCAGCGATGTGAAGCCGCTTTTGACATTGCGGTTTGGAAAAGAAACCAAAGCCTTGGATTTGGCTATCAGGTCCGGATCTTATATGTGCAGTGGAGATGATATTCGAAAATGGAGATTCGCGCAGAGAGAGTTATTTCAAGCGAAGTACGATGGGAGAGAAGTGCAGGAAGAGTTGGTGCCTTACCCTCTAGACTCGAAAGATAAGGAACTGCTGGAGGCCATTCAGACGGACAGCCTAGGAGCGTTCCGTGAGGCCTGGAATGGCCTTACCCCGATGGAAATGGAGATTCACTGGGGACGATTGTCGCTGTGGCTATTGCGGAACTCTCCTGAGCTGGCCTTGGAATTCCTCTTAGTCACTTGTCAGGCTTCTGTCAAGCCAGTCTTTGCCATGATTGCGGACTGTCTAATCTACCTGGACACTCTTCATTCTCGGGAGATGCAGCGGTGGACCAAGAATTCCCACAACTATCAGTCTGTCATACGTGCCTGTTTGGATCCTATGCAGTGGCCTGTCTCCTATGTGCCGCAGAAGGGTGTGCGCTTCTTTATAAAGAAGGCTGACCGTAGCGCCGTCTATGAGGCCTGGGATCTTGTGGAGACCCGGAGGCATAGATTGAAGGGCGAGACCTACCTTGGTTTCATGGGCCGCTTCACGGAATTCAAAGACGTTGACAACGCACTCCTGGCACTGCGCCGAGCTGGGCGGCAGTTTTGGAGATTACAGCAGAGTCCCATGGAGATAGCAGTTTCACGCCATTGCAGCAAACTCTTGGTCCTCGACTCGGTTGTGGATAGCCCGGATGGACGCAATTTCCGCATTCTTCCTGAGCTCCTCAGTATGGGGGTGCAGCCCGACCGAGACATGATGAACGTGGTACTTTCCAACGCTTTCAAGACAGGGGATCCTCAATTAGGGCTTGACGTACTACGCCACATGAAGGCTCAAGGCTTCCAGCTTGATTCGTACACTTATTTGACTCTACTTAGCGATGCTGTCGCTCGTCAAGACAGAGAGCGAATGACACACTTGATGGAGGAACTTGAAAGCCAGCCAGAGCTCAAGAAGAACCCCTATATTGCGAGCAAGCTTTTCCACTCTCACTTCGTTTTTAACGTGAAGCACCTCGATGGTGCTACCGACCGCCGGGAGATTTTCTACTCTCTGTTGCGCATGTATTGTGAGCTGCATGACATAACGCCCTTGAAGGAGCTCTCGATTGTCCCTCGTCAGTACGATCTTCCAACGACTGGCGAGAAGACACCGCCGTCCGTCATTGCCTTGTATCTCGTTATTGCGACTTGGCTTCGGTGTCAAGCCCACGTGGGCAGTGTCGAACGTGTCTATACCAGGTTCCGGGAATTGGTGTTGCAAGGCCACAAAGACATAGCCCCTCTAGCTGCGACCGACCATACCTATAATGAGTTCATGCTTGCGTATCGCAACAATCCACACGGGCTACGACCCGCTGTGCGCGTTGTTGAAGATATGCTACAGTCTGCTACTGAGGTTGGCGCCAAGACTGCCAGCTCTGAATCAACATTCACGCAGACACAGCCAACGGTCTTGACCTGGACGCTGCTGTTGAGTGCTTTCATCTACAATAACCAGCCACTCGCGGCTGAGAAGGTGAGAGAGATGATGGCCAAGCATGGAGTCGTATACAGTATGACGACCTGGAACGTCATCATCAGCGGGTTTGCAAGCCAGCAGAATGCATCTGCCATCGCGCAGTCTATCAAGGATCTCGAGGATCAGGGCCTGTCTATCGATGCTTACACGATGAAGGGCCTACGCTACCTCCGGGATCCGGAGCAGCTCTGGATTGCTGTGGAACAGCTGGACCTGAAATCTGCCTCACACTTGAGGAGGGATGCTTTCAATCCGAACCCCGAATCTCCCCAGCTGGACGAAGCGGAAACTGAGCAGCTGCTCGATCGAGGCCTGCAACGTCTAAAGGCCAACGCATGAGATACCCTTTCTTCTGTTTTCCCGTCTGTTTCTGTTTATTCTCTTGCATCTCTAGCGCGGACCTGGGATTACGGTGGTTTCGGACAAAATCTTTTTTGAACATAGACATCCTGATAGTGTAGAATTTATGTACGACATACAGATCAATAATCATGAGAGACCCCTGCAAGTGAAGAAGATGCAAAAAGAGAAGCTTCAGTAACGCCACCACCTGGTAGAATGACCATCTAATCTGAGACCGCAAGGAGTTGGGGCGAGTCGATCAGCCACCGAAGAAGATCGAGACCTGGCAAGAATATAGGTATCAGCTTTCCAGATTAAGCTAGTGGTTGGTTCCCGCAAGGTGCTTGGTATACTTACAGCCATCACGACGCAGCATATACTGACATAGGGGCTCAACCGTTCACCGATTCGAGCACACTTCCAGAAGATCCCGAAGAAGCTGAAGACAAGATCAGGTCAGAACCATGTCACTTCATAGACTCGATATGGGGTCCACTGCAGACAGCAGCAGTCAGCAGCACTTACCCACTCTGATTGCGGTCCATGATCCCAGGCATCATCGAGTGTGCATATGTGCTCGTGCAGATGATAAGCAAGAACACGAGCAGGAGTGATTGAAAGTTGAACAAGGCAGACTGCATCATACACTAGAAGTTAACGATCCATCACCAGTAGAAGTGGCAGCAAATGGGAAGGGAAGATTGCGGAGTATATTCACTGACCATCTTGAGGGTATATTCCCGTCGTTCGAAACCTCACTGCCTCTAAATTACTTTCTTCTTCTTCCTTGCTCCAATCCCTCCCAGGTTGTCTGTATCTCAAGAGGTACCTTTTATCGGTCGATGTAAACCAACAGACGAGAAGTAACAACTGATGAGCCAGAACGACTTCCGTCCCGCGCGCAACCAAACCAAGTGATTCTGCCACCATGTCTTCCGTCACGAGTCCCCACCGCCTTTCTGCGCGGAAGTCCGGCCATCATTCCGCCGCAGCTCCTGCTTCAATTCGCAACACATCTTCTGCTGCCCGTCCAGCCTCGCAGCGTCTCCGCCGTTCTCTGCCATCGCAGCAGACTTCTAGGGCTTCACCAGCCCCTCCCCGTCAGCCCAGCACTGGCCATGTGTCGAGTCAGCTCGCTTCTGCTTGGCCGTTCAATCCCCAGGAAACAGAACTAATCCGAGCCGGATACCGTCCCGCCTTCAAACCGCAACCCGTCGCCGAAGCGGACGAACAGTCCTCGAACAATAGCAACAAGAATAACAAAAAGAAGGGGACTACCACTAAGAAGAATAATATGGCGGAACCACGAGCCCGTGCCGCTAGGCACAAGGGCCAGATGAACTTTGCATCTGAACGTACGTCCGCCGTCGTTGGTTACAATCGATAACTAGGTCTATAGTGGTTCTCCGTTGCTAACATTAACCCACATATCAGTCCGTCTTCTCCTTCTTGCCTATGGTGACCCCCGTCCGCACCCATCGTATCCCCCCGAGCCACTCCCCGAAACCATCCGTGTACTGGACGAGATTGTCACCGACTTCGTTCTCGAGATGTGTCACGGTGCGGCACAGTACGCCAGCTATTCCCGCCGACAGAAGATCAAGGTCGATGACTTCCGATTTGCGTTGCGCCGGGATCCGAACAAGCTTGGTCGTGTGCAGGAACTTCTTCGCATGGAGCGTGAGCTGAAAGAGGCTCGTAAGGCATTTGATCAGAATGATGATCAGGTCGGTAACTTGAAAGATGCGGGCAAGAAGGGCCTTGAAGAGCTTGGTGAAAGCGTTGATGGAAAGAAGAGTAAGGGCAAGGGGAAGAGAAATGCGAGACGCGATTCGGATGCAACAGAGGATACGGCGCCGAAGAAGCGAAAGGTCGTAGGATGAGCTGAAATGATCTCGTCCGATACCTTTCCTTGCTGCTCTGGCTGCTGCTTCGTTTTTTTTTTTGCTTTTCTTGTCCACTGTTCTGGCGTTCGGGTCTACCGGGGTAGGGTTGTTCCACCTGCATTTGTAAACATATATGATATCCACTACTATCTGGTCGGCATTGGGGGGCGTTACTTATGTCTCAAGATTGAAAATCCTATTTAGCTAAAACTAACTAGCTCCCTGAATTGATGAAGATTATCAGGGGATCTATCATTACTGTAAAAGGTAAAGCTGCATCGATAAGAGGTGATCTGCCCTAATTAATACTCTATTGCAACGTCTACTATCAATAGAATCCTAAACAGACATGAAAGTGAACATGCCACAAATATACTGCATATGTACCTCAAACCCACCGAAACTAACCCTACCCTACACCACATACAAGAAAAATAGACAAGAACGAAAAGCAAGCTTCTGTTGCAAGGCTGATTGCATGTATTTAAAAACATCTCTTTCTGCTCTCTTTTCCCATTTATTTCTTCCATTTCAAGCCAGACAGACGGACTCCCATACGCCGTTCGTTGCTCTTTTCTTTCATTCTTTCATTCTTATTACTTTTTCCTCCTTTTCATTATTTGGGGTTCGTTGGGTTCGGTCTTCGTAAGGTCCTATCCGTCCCTTATGATGCTCAATTTTTCGGGGTGATCATTGATGAGGGTGCGTATTGGCAGGAATCCTTGTAGGTAGGCTTCCATCCATACAACATGACTTCCCCTGGGTTGACACAAGAACCGGATATGGACTGGAAACATATCATATATCCAGGAAATGAAACGATATCAAAGGGACATGCTTTTTGTTGCGTGGCGAGAGAAATAGACTGAAAAGAAAAAAGAAAAAAGAATTTTGCACAAATGAAATAAATGTTAAAAAGAGAAATGGAAAGGTATCGTTATAATAACCCTATGATATCCTCTTACGCGCGAGCCTCCTCTCCACTCCGTTCTTGAGTCCGCTGTTGCCCGCCCCGGCCTCCTTTGCCGCCCCGTTGGCCGCCGCGCTTGTCGCCCGACTCGCCGCTGCCGGACTCGCCTCCAAGAGTCAGCTGGGCGGTTGCTAGCCGGTTGGACAGCTCCATCTGTGTACGGATGGTGTTGGCCAGGTAGGACACGACCAGGACGTCCTGGATGTGGTTGTTGCTGTTGTATTTTTGTTAGTTTTTGATACTTGGTTTCGAATGGATAACTGAGGGTTGGGGGAGGGGAAGGGGCAACATACAAGTCACGCTCAATGTCAGCGGGCTCAACCTTAGGTGCCAGAGCCAAGGTGTTGAGCAGGTACTGTCCCAGGGCCGTCGAAGCAGGAGCCTCCTCGTCAATGACAGACTCAACGTAGCGGGAAACCCGGTCGATCATGCCCAGAACATCCTCAATCGCACGCTCCAGAGCCTCGATATCAGTGAAGATGTTGGCACGACGCTCCTCAGCATCACGGGCCGCAGCAATAGCCTCCAGACCACTCTTCTCGGCCTCACCGTAGCGGATCTCGTAAGGGACGGGGATGAAGGCGGCGCTGTCGGCGGCTCTCTCCGCGGTCACACCAACGGGGGCGGAGATGTAGGCGCGGGTCTCGATATCCTTTCCAGCCTCGGTGGAGACGGTCAAGTGGACGGCAGGGTGAGGCCATGTGCCATCACCCTGGCCGCTGTAGAAGTTCTGGATCAAAGCGGAAAAGGTGTTCAGCTCGGACGAGGTGGCGTACCAACCCACAAGCACTTCCTTGGGGTTGGCCTTCAGGTGCAACGCAAGCATCTGCTTCTGGTATTCCATGTCCACCTCAACCTGGTCTGTCGTCTCCGTGTGTCCAACAGCGAAGGTGCTGCGGATTTCCACCTCGGTTCCATCCTCGGATCTGGTTCCCAGCAGAGTACCGATGACACGCTCCTGGTCAGCGTTGCGACGGAGGGAGTGGTCCAGGATCGAGAAGAGTGCCTAGCCCAGAGAGTTAGCACTATGACCCTGGTCGAAAAGTCTGTAAGACCCAGCCATATAACACGTACCTGGGGTTGGATGACAACGTTCAGAGGGGCGGTTGTCGGTGCAGTCCCCACTGCCACGGGGCCCAGAGGGCGAGCGAGGTGAAGGAAGGAATCAGCTTCAGCCATGATGGAAAATAGGTCGAGCGGTCTCTCGGGTTGATCTCGTCCTGGCCGTGGGGGGGGGGGAAGGAGTGGCACTCTGGGGTTCGGGATACTAATTAAATCTTCCGCCTCTGATGCCGCGACGGAGGTTCTGCTGCGAGGCTCAAATTGTGTGTGCGCAAAGGGAATTTCGCGCTAAGATAAGATAAGCAACTCCCCCCCAACGCCGCGAAAAAATAATCCGCCCAACTGCAATCAACCCCGAATTGTTGCTGTTCCAGTGGCCGTAGCCAATTTAATTTTGCATTTACTTTATTGGCAATGGCCCCTCCAAGAGGTAGAGCTCCTAGAGGCCGCGGCAAACGCTCGAGAGGGCCCGTCGGGCGCCGCGATGCCTTCCAGGCTTCTCGGGTTGCCGACATAGAGTGAGCATCACTTCCGCGCTGGTCTCTACAGTACAGCTGACCAACCGTGCAGGTCTGATGATTCTTCGTCCGGTGAAGATGGTCCTGTCGATGAGCATATGGAGGGTGGTATGGCCGAAGAGGAAGCCATGGATGTCGGTTCGTCCAGCGATGAAGAGGATGAGGAGAAGTCCGGTCGTCCTTACAACGAGCTGCTACAACTGTTGAACACATCTACCGACTCCAAGGGCCCAGCCCGCAAGAGGAGAAAGGTCGAACATAAGAATACAGAAACCGTCGAGGTTGTTCGCGAGGACCCTGTTGCGGAAGAGGACGAAGAGGCTCTCGGGGAGGACGATCTAGAGCAGCAAGAGCCTTCGGATGAAGAGGACAATGCGAATCAAGAAGATGCTGGTGCACAAGATAGTGATGATGAAGACGGTATGATCTTATGCTGTTTATCTATTTTGCCATTGCACTAATGTTGGACAGACAACGATCCTTTCGACACGCACTTCACGAACCCTACGGAAGACGAGCTGGCCAAGAAGATCAAGGCTATTGGGGAGAACAAGTGGAAGAATGCAAAGAAGGAATTGCCAGAAGGCTTGAGGCTTGTGCGCACTATTCCAGATACTGGAGACGATGCGTCCTGGCTACCTCCAATGAAGCAGATCTCAAGCGTGAAGGTGAGCGTGGCAGCCCCAGTCTACTGAAACGGCCGCTGATCTAGATCCGGTACAGCTTAAGAGAAAGCTTAAAGAGCCAGCCTCCGATAAATTCCCCCAAATCGGTGGACAGGCCCAGCACATTGCTCCGTACATCTTCGGCTACCAGGACGTTTTGTATGGAGCCCGGACGCCATCCAACTCGGCCCAGATGCGCGATCTTCTGGCCCTCCACGCCACCAACCACGTGCTCAAGACCCGCGATCGAGTGCTCAAGAACAACACACGCTTGGCCAAAGAGCAAGACGCCGACATTGATGTCCGAGACCAGGGCTTCACTCGGCCGAAGGTACTTTATCTCTTGCCTACCAAACAGGCCTGTGTGCGGGCTGTCGAGTCCATCACCCGCTTCTTCCAACCCGAGCAACAAGAAAACAAGAAACGTCTCCTCGACACCTTTTCGGCGGCTGATGACCCATCATGGGAGAGCAAGCCGGACGACTTCCGCGAGCTCTTCGGTGGCAATGACGACGACATGTTCCGTCTGGGTCTCAAGTTCACCCGCAAGACTGTCAAGTATTTTGCGCAGTTCTACACCTCCGATATGATCCTAGCCAGTCCACTGGGTTTACGCACCATCATGGACCAGGCAGAGTAAGTCGATCAGCCTCACCCTCGGGGTCCAGAACGTTCTATCTAACGCCTCACAGTGTAAAGAAACGCGATCATGACTTCCTTTCGTCTATCGAAGTAGTAATCGTCGATCATGCGGATGCATTGCTCATGCAAAACTGGGATCACATCGACTACATCATGAAGCACCTCAACCTGCAGCCCCGAGAGGCGCACGGATGTGACTTCAGTCGTGTACGGACATGGTACCTGGACAACAACGCGCGGTATGTGCGGCAGATGATCATGCTCACCTCATTCGTCACTCCGGAGATGAACTCGGTGTTCTCGACGCACATGCACAACACCTCGGGCAGGGTCAAGGCCACGCCGATCCACGCGGGCGCGATCACCGAGCTCCCCCTCCCGGTGTCGGTCAGGCAGACATTTACCCGCTTCGACTGTCTCTCGCCGGCGAAAGACCCCGATGCGCGATTCAAGCACTTCACCACGACCATCCTCTCGTCGCTGGTGCGCGACATTGCCTCCGGTCGCGGCAAGGCCAGCGCTGGCGGAACCCTGATCTTCATCCCGTCGTACCTGGACTTTGTGCGCGTGCGTAATCACTTCGCCACGTCGCAGCAGACCACCAACGTCTCTTTTGGAGCCATCTCCGAATACACCGAGCAGCGGGAGGCGGCGCGGGCTCGCTCGTATTTCATGAATGGGCGCCAGTCGGTGCTGCTGTACACGGAACGTCTGCACCACTTCCGTCGGTACCAGCTCCGCGGGGTCAAGCGGATCATCATGTACGGCGTGCCTGAGAACCCGGCGTTCTATAGCGAGATTGTCGGGTTCCTAGGATTGGATCCAGCGGCGTTGGTCGAGGCGGCCGAGGGAGGTGTGCGGGCGTTGTTCTCCAAGTGGGATGCGCTGAAGCTGGAACGAATTGTGGGCACGCAGCGAGTGGGCAATATGATGCGCGAGAAGGGAGGAGATACTTTTACGTTTATGTAGATCATATATACTAGGATGTGAATAATATATCTGTATACTGTTGAGACAAACCAACAACTGCTTAACACAAAGTCTGGGCACGGACCTTGAGTAATTGATAAAGTTTTGATCCCTGCTGCTCACATGCAGATGCACATCTCATTGAATTTCCATGTTGGCGTCGTATCCGCCCATATATTCTACTCCATGATGTGATATCGCAGCGCAGTATAATCAACTCTTGTTAGGATCACATTAGCAAACATATATCTACTACCTAGCAGCTACCAGATATATAGTAGATCCGATAAGCGCACCACAACCAAGGAACCATTCCCATGCACAGCCAGCAACCCCCAAGGATACCTGCATAGCATTCAGTCAGATTGTTATGCTTCCTGAACAATACAATACATTCTCATATACTCCTTTCCAACAGCACACTCAAATCGATATAACAACTAAAGAATAGTAAGATTCGGACAAAACTCCCCTCCAAACCGAAGGGTGTCACAAGGGCCCGATTAGTCATGCAACAAAAACCAGGCCGATCGCGGCTCTAAAAGCAGTTTGGTGTCACGGGCTTATTTTGACTGGGATTCATTATTTTCTTTTTTTTATTTATAAATAAGTTGATATCGTCGCATTCCAGTGCTCTTCCAGCCGGTCTGTTGACTTTCAAGTTTTTTTCCTCTTTCCAAAGGGGGCGCAGGGATACACTACTACTTTACTTATTTTTCATTTTTCATCCATGAGTTACATGAACGAGTAAACGATACTTTAAAACCGTTTTGTTTTTCATGAATTTATGAGTTACGAAGGAAAAGGAAATCAAAAGCACGAACTAACCAAAGCAAAATCACTTACCTTACCCGGAACCACTGGAAACAAAATGTCTCTGAATCCATCTGACGCAAGGGGCGTCAACTCGACCGCGGGTGAAGAAACTCAGCAAGAATATGTAACTTTACTACCGGCTCAGAACAATCAAGTCGATGAGCAGCAGCAGCAGCAGCACGTTGTCTATTCGGAGCAGACGCCACTGCTTCATTCGGGACATGGACATGTTTCTGCCTCAGCTTCTTCAAAAATGCAACACTGCTCAGCTCAGCCATGGTGGAAGACGGCGCAGCAGGTATCCTGCGATGTCTGGCTGCAGGGTAAGGGCATGATCTTGGTCATGTTCGCGCAGTTCTTTGGCGCGTCAATGAATGTCATGACGCAGGTTTTGGAAATCAAGGGTCGTGATGGGAAGGGGTTTCATCCGTTTCAGGTGCGTTTCTATATCACCTACCTATCTGCTGGATAGCTAGCTATCCTAGTAGATGGATGATCTACTGTGTGTACTGTGTAGGGATCGCCCACTCGCGGGGCTGCTCCCTCTAGTCGAGACACTAGATATCCCTGCTCAGGAACCCGGCTGATCCCCGTACTACAGATCCTGTTCGCCCGCATGTCTATCACTGTTCTCGCTAGTTACCTCTACATGTGGTACGCGCGAGTACCGCATCCGTTTGGAACGCGCGAAACCTTTCCTTTGCTGATGCTGCGCGCTGGAGGTGGATTCTTCGGCGTCTACGGGCTCTACTACTCCGTCCAGTATTTGCCGCTCTCCGAGGCGACCGTGGTGACTTTCCTAGCCCCGATCCTGAGCTGCTATGCTTGTTCGCTCTTGATCCCCAACGAGACCTTCACGCGCAAGCAGCAACTTGCCGGACTGGTCTCGCTGGCGGGTGTCGTTCTCATCGCTCGGCCATTCCCGTTCATGCGCTCGGGCGCCGACTCCGAAGAACCGGAGCAAGGCGATAAGCCCGGTGCCACCGATAGCTACCACCACGTGCTGGCCATCGTGGTGGCTGCGGTCGGAGTGCTGGGAGCCTCGTGTGCGTACACCACGATCCGGATGATCGGACAGCGCTGTCACCCGCTCGTCTCAGTGACTTACTTTTCCACATTCACGACGGTCGTAGCTACACTGGCGATGCTGGTCATGCCCTCGGTTCCGCTGGAGCTGCCGGGAACGCTGTGGGAATGGACGCTGCTTCTTGGGCTGGGTGTTAGCGGATTCTTGCTGCAGTTCCTGCTCACGGCAGGTCTGGCGTATGTGCCGCCGGTGCGGAAGACCAAGCCCAAGACTTCAGTGGACTGGGATCGGGACTATGGTACGCGCAACGAGGAGGAGGAAGCATCAGCGAAGCCAACATCGTCCGGATCGCGGGCTACTTTCATGCTGTACACGCAGATGCTGTTTGCCGTGTTCTACGACCGGGCGATCTGGGGTAGTACGTTGTCGGCGGTGAGCTGGGCGGGATCGGCGCTGATCCTGGTGAGCGCGATGTATGTGGCCATGGCGCGAGAGGGCGCAAAGGGAACCGCATCCGAGGAGAAGGAGGGAGGAGATCAAGAGGGCACGGACGAGAACCGGGCTGGAGTGGCTGCAGAAGCGCGTCTGGAGGAGGGCGGGGAAAGACAACAGAGCGGGGGTCGCGCATGAGGCGTTTTGCAAATCGCGCGACGATCTGAGGGATTTGCCTGAAGTTTTTTTGGAGGGAGGGGAGGAAAAGGAAGCAGGTCGGCGTCACAGTGCATAGCTCGACAGCGGAGGGAAAAGGTTGAGCGATGCCACATGTCGATAGGGGGAGGAAGGGCTCATATTGCATAGCATACTGGCGCAGAGCATAGCAGTATATACAAAGGATATATAACGTCACTAGTTATGGGGTCGTGATTGATTGATTAATTGATTGATTGATTGATAGCAGTGAAAGTGAGGCGGTCGAATGCAGTGATACTCCCACAATAAGTATACGCTAGTAAATGATGCCAGTCCGCAAGTGGCAAAGTGTCTAGAGAGCTCCACTCCAATGGGCATCCCCAATTGCTTTTGAGGTCTTTGATTGGTCATAATGTGGAAAAGTGGCTGAAGCTCTTTCTGGATTGGGAATGTGATAGGCTCGCTTCAATACTCTTACCAGACTAATACTGATACTGACGGAGATAGTGGAGGGAGGGCAATCCGGGGATATCACATCTTCTTATACTACTCTTTACTTTGTTCATGTAGCATCTCTACGTGGTATTTTCAATTGGATACAACTCTCCCCATTCCACAAGTCAAGATATTCTAGCATTAATACTACTACCACCACTATTACTACTACAACCGGAGCACTCTGATCCTACCGGCGAGCTTGACTGCAGCATCCCTGCATGTGAACCAGTTGATTGGCCGCCACCACGTCATAAGGTTGCACTTGAGACCGTGCTGTTCCGATTCTCGAATATTAACTAATTTATTACTTTATATTCTTTCTTATATGTTGCTATTATCACTTCGTACTTCTTTCTATCTCAGTGTGTATCTGTGCATTTTCACTACTAAACTAGCTGATATATATAAGCTAATCCCGTCATTCTTTCTCTATACTCCTTTATATTCATACACCTTTTAGACTTTCATTCTACTACGCTTTATTCATACATCTAAACCACTAGATTAGACTTGAAAGATATATACTCATTCAAAACATACAAAATGCGCCACTTCGACACCTGGATCCTCCGCGACCCCTACTCCATCTTCCACTACTATCCCACAGGCAAACGATGGCCAGAAACCATTCGCGAATTGATTCAATCTCGTCAAATATGCAGTCCCCCATCTACATCCACATCCAACGACAACATCATACCATCCGCAGCAGCAGACAGCACCTCCCAACCAACAAGCAGCTTTTTCCAACGTCTGCCCCCAGAAATCCGCCTCATGATCTACGCCTACGTCTTCAACGACTCCCCCAACACCCACACCACCACCACCACCAATGATACTACAAACACAACCATCCACCTGGTCCAAATCCGCAACAAAATCCACCACGTCCGATGCACACACCCCTCCCCACTCGACAAACACCGCCAATGCTGTCCCCAAACCATGGCTCGATGGCGCACCTCTCCCACCACGATCCCTAAACCCATCATCACCACCACCACCACCACCACCACCACCACCACAAACCCTCCCAAAGGAACAAATCAAGCAAAGCAACACGACACAAACAGCACCCTCTACCCCCACACCCACCCCTCCCTCCCCACCACCCTCTCTCGCAACACCACCTCCCCGCTCCTAACCTGCCGAGCCATGTACCTCGAATCCGCACCGCTCCTCTACACCCTCACCACTATCGACACAGACGACCTTTACACCTTCCTCTCATTCATCAACACCATCTCCCCCCATCTCCGGAAATACATCAAGTCCCTCACCGTGCAATACACACCGATCTGGCAGCCCATGGCCGGCCAGGAATATCCGTTTTCGGTGTATACGCATACCCACAATGATGTACTCTGGGGCGGGTTCTGGGATGCCGTGGCGAGGAAGTGTCCCGGGTTGGAGAGGGTCAGGTTGGGTTTGGATCTGGGGACCGTGTTTGCGGTTAATAACCATGTAGGAGGAGGTGGGGGGATGTCGGTGACCGGGGGAATATGGTCAGTTTTGGGACTGAGGAGGAGTGGGTGAGGCCGTTGTTACAGGTGCGGGGGTTGAAGGGGTTTGAGTTGGGGGTGATGGTTAGGTGTGATCGGTTGGCGAGACGGGTGTTGGAGAATGGGTTGGTGAGGGATGTGCAGGTGCTTAGGGAGAGGTTGGTCGAGGTGATGTGTCGGGAGAGGGATGATGGGTTTATGAGTGAAGGGGAGGAGGATGTGGTGGGTGAGAGGAGGGGGAGGTTGGCTATTATGGCTGCTTGAAGGGAAAGAACTAAAGTGGTCGAGTCTTTCAAGCGTTTTGTTGCATGATGATAGATACCCTTCGATGTTTTGTTGTTTCTGTGCTCAATAGAAGTCGATTAATTAGACTGACTACTATATATACTGCATTTTCATACTGCTACTACTACCACTTTCCCATATCCATGAATGAATTAGCCCTTCTATCAATCAATCTAGCTGTACATTACCATCCATCCATCCATCCATCTCATGCCCTGAATAAGAATTGAAAAAAAAAATATGCAATTTACCAAAAAACCCAACCAACCAATCAACCAATCAACCAACAATAACCACCAATCCATCCCAACTTCCCATTTAACATACCAATTCAGACAATCATTACTCATTAACTCGGTCAGAAAGGAAAAAAGAAATATAAAATATAACATCTATTCCTTTTCTTTCTTTTTTTTTTTTTTCCAACGCTACCGTGAGCTAATGAAAATAAAGTCCTCGCTTAACTTACATCGATCGTTGCAACAAGTCAGAACACAGACCTCTTCACCAGTCTGGGGTCCGATGAAAATTATCGTAGATGATCAATCAAACAATCAACCGTGATGCTGCTCATGCTCCTGCTGTTGAAGCTGCTGCTGCAATGCCTCCGTGCTGCGTTCCACCTCGGAATCGTGCTCTTCCTCGCTGGTGGGCGATGGTGCCCGGCTGCCCACGAGAGAACGGCGACTGCGCATCTACATTGGGGTCAAAATTAGTCAATGCAACAGAGTAGTAAGAATCATGGACCTACCCATGCGCGAACACCCCCAATCAATCCTAAACTGTAGCCCGTTGCAAAGTCCGGCTCGTTCCGACCGTTGCCGATTGTGCTCTCCGGACGTCCCAGAGCCTCTACCCGAGAAACATGCGCCTTGCTGCCCAGCACAGGGCTGGTGACACCGCTGCGCGAGCCGCCCAGATCCACGCTGTTGCGCGCGCTCGATAGCGGGCTGTTGGGCCGGCTGTTTTGCCAGAACTGACGCAGCTCCCGACCCAATTCTTGGCCTGTCGTAGTCCAGTTAGACCGGATGCTGTCCCGGAGCTCATTCACGTGACGCTTGATCTCCAGCTCATTCTTCTTCAACCATGACACGTTCAGTTCCTGTCGTGAAGCACCACGCTTAAACTGTCGAGAAATGTACTGGTCGTAGTCGCGAACAATTCTGTATTCGAATGAGCCCCCATCCAAGTATATCCATTGAGCAGCACAACTCACCTGGTAATAATTCCCGTTGTGCTCACACCCTCTGTCCGCTGCGTAGCCAAGAACTTTCCTTGAGCCTTGATCGGCGCATAGATATCATCTCCCTCATCCGCACCATATGGTAAATCATCATGCGCAACGTAATCAATCTGGTGGTCATCGATAAATTCCGGCGTCACGATCCAAGGGCAATTGGGAATCACTTCATCCACCCATCTGCAATGACGGATGCTCTCTGCGCGCTCGGCACCGCTCAGGACCGTCAGTCCCTTGCGCTTATGTGTTTCCTCGTCTCCGGTCACTCCGACGATCAAATGCACGTCAGGGAACGCCTTCTTCGCCTGTTCCAGCTGTCGCATGTGTCTGCACACCTCATGGTTAGCACTCTGTCCACATAAGCCAGATGGCCGATACATACCCCACATGGAACAGATCAAACACGCCGTCCGCATACACGCGCACCGGCCGTCCCGTTGGCGGAGGGTTGGTGTGATAACCGACGGGGTCCTGAAGTCCAGCACGCGCGGGAGGGCTCATCAACGGCTCCGATGTGTCTACCTGCAAGCCCGGCCGGCTCTTGCTCCGACTCTCGATATCACTGCTGGCCACGGTGGTCTCTGATGGCTCGCCCGGATCCTCCTTGCTGAGGGCCGATGGTGCGTCGGGAAGATCGCCATTGGAAGCTGGAACGTGGCCTTCACTGGTGGACGCCTTGCGGGCCCGTTTGGTGGGCGGAACGGTGCCGGCAGAGGTGACATCGAGAGACGATTGCTTCTTGTGCTTGCTGGGCAAGGGAATGGCGGAGCCTGTGGATTCGTCACCTTCCTCACCGGACGCATCGCGAGAGGAGGGTTGCAAAAGTTCTGCAGGGGATGGAATGGCGGCATTGGCGGAAAGATGTTGGGAACCGCTGCGCTTGCGTTTAGTCGAAGATTGGGGGGAGGACATGATGGCCGACCGAGGGAGCACAGCTCGACTTCTGTCAATAATAGAAAAAAATTACACGGAACTGAAGATGCTGAGGAGGAGGAGCGGCGAAAGAGTAGGAGGATAAGAAATTAAATCCGCTTGGCGACAGGTGAGACAAGAGGACAGAAAAGCAGGACGGAGAGGATGTGGAGGAGGGAAGAGGAGTACGGGAGGGCCCGGGGATGGGATCCAAAGCACAGAGGAGAAGATGAAATTCCTCAACAAACCATGGGGGGGAAATGGTGGAGAGGGGGGAGAAGAGGGAGGAAGAGAGAGAAAGAGTAAGAAGAGGAAGAAGAAGAGGAAGAGGAAGAAACTAGAGCAGGACCCTTGACAGACGGGCGATGGAGCAAGCAAAGACAAGGGGAAGAAACCGACCGAAAGTATCGCGGATCCGAAACTAGAGCGCAGACTAAAAAAGGCAAGAATCTCAAAATCTTCCCGACCGGGAATATTGATTCATGTATGGTACCTTACTCAAACTCGACTGATCACCTCCGATAGAACTGACCGCTTACCAGTAAATGGGTCGCTAATGACCGCGAGAAACTGCTAATTACTGCTAGATACGTACTGCTAAAATACTGGCACTGCCCACAGTGGGGAAAGCAAGCAAGACAACTGACCGTCACGTACGGTCCTGCCCCAACCATCATCGCCCATCACGGGACTCCGGCGGGCCCTCTCATTCGCCCGGTCCTTCCAAAGTACCATACGGTGTACCTCAACCAGGCCTTTTTTTTTGCGACGTACTGTACTTACTACTTAGCTACCTACTAAGTACTAGATCCATCCTACGGACTCCTCTTTCACTCCACATCTCTTGTCGCAATTGACTTCCGGATGGTGTCAAGACTTCTGCACAGCCAACGTTTCTATATGCATACGATATAATTTAGAACGAAAAAGGAGACAAAAGATTCAACATACACGGCTCGCTTCCATCCCGGTTCCAGAAACTCCGCTGCTGAAGCAAGCATTCGACGAGTTTGCCTTACCCGACCCCGGACTTATAAAAACTGTACGTCATGCCATCATGGAATATTTCTTCCCCCCGGGACGCCATACATGGTGTGCAACTCCGCTATTTCCCTCCCCTCCCTGACGTGATCGATTGGTTACAACATACCAATGTCGTGCTCAAGCCGGGACATCGCAAGGGCTGTCCCGCCGGTAATTTCCAGGCTGCAGCTGAGGTGGACACGGCATCGCGTCGTCAAGGAGCAGGGAAGACACAGACAATAGGATAGAGAAAGAAAATTGGGACAATAATGGAAAATATCATGGTTCATCAACAGTGGGCGTTTTGTGCGGTATCTTGTTCATGGCATGAAACAGACGTACTCTCGTGAGGCCGGCCGCTCGCGGCTCTGCAATAAAACTGGTAAACATAAACGAAACCCTCCGACCCGATTCCCATGCATCCACCCCGCAACCAATGCCAAAATATTGAGTGACTTTGGACTTCCTATTCGTAAAAAAAGGTCACCTCGCGATTGGGTTCCACCGCCTCTGGAAACCACTAGGCCATTTCGAAAGGGAGTAAGGCTGGAGTATGATAAAAAGAAGGGGGGAGTTCGACGTGAGGAAGCCTGGCGCTTCCAAAGGGGCAAGGCAGAAAGAAGTCCACCTAAATGTAAGGAAATAGGTAAAAACGGGGCACAGTCGTAGAATCACACAAGGATGGTTTTCAAAGAACCAAAATAAGGAAAAAAGGAAAAGGTAACAAGCGCGGCAAGGGTAGAAAAGGAAATAGTGAAAAAAGAAAAGACACATCAAGGAGAAATGCAAGAGATCCATCATGACTACGAACTCGTAGGCTTTTGCGGCGTTCCAGGGGCACTGCCGGACGAACCCTCCGCGGTGGTAGACGGCGACTCCGATATCTCAGCGGCGTCCGTTCGGGGAGTGTCCTTAGACTGAGGCCCAGGAGTTCCCTCCCGTTCATTCCGAGCCGCATCAGGTGAATCACGGTGCACCTGATTGACAAGGTCCTGGTCTTCCTCAGCCTGATCAAAGAGTTCGTCATCGTTCTGTTCCGGAATCAATTCAGTGCCGTCCCCCAAGAGGATGATGCGGCCAGAGCGGACGCTGAAGCCACGCGCACGGTCGTTTTCCATGTCAAAGTCATCCGGGTTCTCCTCAAATTGATTCCGGATACCGGGGCCGCGGAACTCAGCTGCACCCCCCGTTCAGTCAGTAGGGATTGGAATTGGAGGCCGTGGGATCCTCGAGAGACTTGCCGTACTCGGGCGGAGCGCAAGGGCCGTCGCCGTTCGCCACGCGCTCAGCGATCTGGTTGTACCACTCCTCTTTGGTCCTACCGTTAAGGAGACCGATGATAACCATCGTCATGTTGTCGCAGCCAACACCACCGGTTTCACTGTTGGAGGCCAGGCAGTTGTCCATCATGTTCTCACAGATCCGATACAAGTCCTGCTTCGCGGCAATCCCACGGCGGACGAATTCCACCACTGATTGGGAGGACTGACAATCCCAGATACCTGCATTCCGAAAAGTTAGCGATTTCCGAGACCCTCGCTCCCTTCATCACCAGAGAAAGACCCACCGTCACAGGCAATTACGAGGAACTCGTCATCGTCACTGAGATCGTGCACAGTGACGTCGGGATAGGCAGTGACGATTTGCTGCTCAGGAGACAACTCGGGGCTCTTCTTGAACTCGAAGTCACCAATGGCCCGCGACAGGGCCAGGTTGCCGTTGACACGGCCAAAGTCAACGAAACCACCAGCAGCGCTGATACGAGCCTTCTCGCCTATATTTTGTCATGTCAGCATCACCAACCCAGGTCGTTAATCGAGATGTAGGGTCGGTACCTTCGTTCTGAGGCTTGTGGTCAAATGAAAGAGGCTTCGCGCGGCCCTTGACACCCAGTACAGAGCGAGAATCACCAGCATTGGCCTAGAACCAGTCAAAAAAAACGAACCGAGCCCATCGTCGTTTCCAAACCGGCCATGGCTAGAATACATACCACCCAAATCTTGTGCTTCGAGATAACGCTGACGGCTGCGGTGCAGCCAGACACTTCCTCCTCATACTTCGGGTCTAGCCGGGTCAGTCCGTTGCTACCTCGGAGGGACAGAAATCAAGAAGGAGAGGGAGAGGCGGGTGGGAAGGTTGCCCGAACTCCGATCATAGCGCTCACGAACCTTCCAAAATAGCCCGGTCGGTAGCGAGGAAGCCATCCTTCAGGGCCTGTTCGATATCACCTTTGGCAAAGGAGTCCTGCTTCGCGACAATCTTGTGGACGTTCTCTCCGGCGAACAATGCTACTTTGTCTCCACCGTGCCCGTCATATACACCGAAGAAAGCGAGTCGTTTATCGGGGTCGGTCGGCTTTTCATCCTGGTCCGAGTACTTGGCCTGCAGGTCGAGGACGGCAGCATGGGCATCCTCCATGCTGATTCGCCAACCCTGCATGGCGGAAACACCGTATATACAGCACTCATCTTGACCTTCAGCGGAAGTCTAGATAGCACCGGAAGTGGTTAGTGAGGATGTAGGAAATTAAGGAGAGATCCGGAACACAATGGAATGGTGACAGGTCATCCGCCCGAAATCGCGTGCAGGAAATTTTCATCATCCTGTGGAGGAACCCCGCAGGGGAGGGATGATCACCACATTGCAGGCGCGACACACAAGAGGAGGAATGAAAAAGAACGATGTAGGATATAATAATGCTGGGCAGTGAACATGTTTGACAAAAGGATACAAAAAGGGGAGAATGGGCGGGTATGGCACAGAATGGCAAATGTGGATGGTGGACAGATTAGAATGGCGTAAGATGCGTGCAGTGTGGGGGAGGATCAAAGGACCAGACAGGCAAACGCAATGCTTCAGGTTTCACTCACCTTATCGACCACGGGCTCGGACAGAGTCTGACCCATGATTTCTAGTGGATCACAATTAAAATGTTCACGCAGAGGAAAGGCCCGTTACAGACATACACACACCACCGAGGAGGGGGAGGGAAAGAATAGAGGAAGAGAAAAGGTGGAAAACCGGCGGATTCTTTTTGGGGGGGGAGAAGACGAGGGGAGGGGAATGGGGAGGGAAGAGGCAGCAGATCAGGTGAAAGAGAAGAGATTAGGTTGGCTTTGAGGGCAAGGGCAGAATGACTATTCGGGAGGCGGCAAGCGGGAATGGAACCAGCAGAAAAGCGTGAGCAGAACTGATGATGGGATGGTGGAGGGAGAGAGGGGGGAAAGGGAAGCTAGTAGTAGTAGGGAGAGAGGGACCAAAGTGTGAGAGGATTTAGTAGTGTGTGTGTGTCTCCGGACTGCTGTGGAAGGTTAGTTAAGTTCCGGACTCGGTGGTGTAATAATAATAACAGCACCTACTACTAGTAGTAATTAACTACTAATACGTAGTAGTAGTAGTGGTAAGCGGTAGTGGGAGTGGTGTGCCTACCTATCATTCGGGGAGTGGGGAAAGCCGATTCAACGATGACGATAGCTCTGAAATTGGGTGAGAAGCAGGGTGATTGATAGTTATAACAGGCAAGATAGGTCAGACAATTGGGAATACTAAACAATGACACAAGGGACCGAGGCGAGGAACTGGTCCAAGTTAGGAGGAGATGGTGTCACAGGAAGGGGAAGAGATTTTCTGCACGATAATAAAACAGACTAATGGGCATCAGGCATTATCTGGCCATCTGTTAAGAGAGAAAGAAAATCAATCACAAGGGCGTCAGCCGCAGGCAGACAGAGAGAGACAGCAGGCTGAAGCAGGCAGAGAGCAGCAGCGCATGTACCTCCAGGGTACCTCCACTGCGTTGGGGAGAAAGGTAAGGTACTCTCATGGTACTTCCACCGTACCATTACAACCTGATCGCATGCGGCAGGCGGTAGGACCGAAAAGGGAAGAGCCGGGGGAAAGTTTGCCAGTCGCGTGCCTTTTTCTGGATGCGGCAATTGAAAATAATCCAAAACTGAATTGAAATTGAATAATGACGAAAACTCCTTGGCGTCGGCTGACCCGAACTTTTTCACCCATCAACTCCCGCCACAATTCGAGGTACTTCCCTCCCCCTACGTCTCTAGTATCTGCTGGAAGATAATAGATGATGTGCCTACCTGTTACAGCTCCTGCATAGCATCTCTACAGCATAAAACCCCCGTTTAATTTGCAGGTGAAATACAGATTATCCATGTAAAGACCTTCCGGTGGAGAGCTGACACTGTACGTACTAGTTAGCTCAGCTCCATGTCTACCTTCAAGCAAGAACGTCGTCCGTGCCACGTTTCCTATTGACTTTTAATGCCTGGTTAGATGGGAAGTTGGCAAGGTACCGGGGATCTGGGGTACTAATTATATGAA